ATTCCAACTTCACAGTCCTCGGGCCTTCATCCCTTCATCATATGCATTTGTGTGACCTGCGTGTAAACCAAAATACAATACGAAATGATTTTAAACACACAACCAACTAACACAGTTAAAATAAACCAAACAATCAACTTAACCAACTTTTGTATATAAACTGATTTTAGACTCTCCCGATGATACTCCATCCTTAGTCACTCATATTTGGAACATAAATTTGAATTGCTAAACAGATCATCTTATTTGAAAAATGAAAACCAACTCACTTGGTGATCCTAAAATCAAGATGGCAGTGAAGGTATTTCGGGATAGACTCAAGGCTGCCCAAGATCGACGAAAAAGTTTTGCGGATAAGCATTGGAGTTTGAAGTTGGGATGAAGTATTTCTAAGGATTTATGTTGGAAAGGCATCATCCGATTCATAGCTAGAGGAAACGACCCAACTCCCCTGACAATAAACGGAATCAACCTAACCCCATAAGTTTGTTAGACAAACTCCATGCTCCAAAATCCCCCTTGCACGCCCTCCACAACACATGCAAACCCTTAGTCGTTCATGAACATTTAAACCCAAACATGCATACACCTTATCCCACACAACCTTTTGGTCTCCTACTCGACCCCCATTGGGGCCCTCCAGGCCTCGAATGAAAAATCCCAATAGATGATGAATTTAGTTATCTAATTAAAAACAAAATGGTGGAGTTTGCTCCATGTCCTCTTAACAATGGCGGAGCCAAAACACTAGGCCGGGTTGGGTCAGTACAAAGAATATTTTTAGAAAAATTTTAGCCTGAATTTTTTACACAAAAATATAGACATTTTAAACTTGGGGTGGTCCAGGGCCTAGAATGACATGGAGCTTGCCTAATCGTCAATGGTAACTCCCAATAGGTCATCGTTTATTGTGAAAACTTTCAGACGATAGTAAAACGTGCAAATATTTGGATGTTCCTTAAATTGAATTTGTTTCTCGTGTGACTACTACCATGGTTTTCCATATTTAAATATTAACCTTTTTTACTGTTTATCACGAATATTACCCGAAAATGGTATAATCAGGAAGAACTAAGATCTGTGAATTCCGAAAAATTGAGTTGCTTTGCTCAGCTGTTTATTTATACTTTTGTAGGCAACATATTTTTTTTTTTCATATGTAGGCAACATATGAATACATGTACAAGTAAAAAATCAAGAGATTCTTACATTTAATGCAAGACACCCCTACACTTAATGCCTAATAAAAAACTTCCTATAATTACAAAAGTTTAATAAAGGTAACAAAGATATTTTCTACCGATTCTCTGATTGACATCCCCCTCAAATTGATGTGGGTTGATCAACAAGCATCAATTTGCCCCCACGGAATGGATGACATTGACGAGGAAGAGCCTTCTTGAAGATGCCGACCACTTAAAGATATGTGGATACATGGGGCAAGGAAATCACTTGATATTCAAATGCTTCACGAATAAAATGACATTCTACTTCAATGTATTTGTGCGATCGTGATAAACTGGATTAGCTAATGTGAATAACACTAATGTTATCGACATGCAATGGAGTAGGCCCGCTGGTGAAAAATCAAGTTCTGCTAGTAAACCTCGTAACTATTTGAACTCTGAGCAGGCAAGAGACATAACACGATATTCTGACTCCTCAAATGATTTAGAAACCCAATCATACTTCTTGCTTTTCCAAGAAACAAGTGCAGTCCCCACCAACATATGCCATCCTGTGGTGGAGCAACGAGTATCTACACAAATAGCCCAATTAGCATCACTATAGCCAGATAGTTCAAGAGAAGTACCAGATGTAAAATAAAGTCCCTTGGTAAAGGTTCCAAGAATATAATGAATCATATGTTGAGTTGCAGCCATATGGAGATGACGAGGATTCTGAAGAAATAGACACACCTGTTGAACAGAAAATGAGAAATTTGGACGAGTAATTGTAAAATACACTAAGCTGCCCCCAAGCCTACAATCAAAGACGGCGCCACCCTAAGGGTTGTGGTGTCAATTAACACCACTGAATTTTATTTTTCCCATATATACGTGTATATAATTTTCCAAATATTTCAAATTGACACCATCGAAGAATAGAAATTACATATATGGGAAATAATCGAGTGATCCATTATAGTGATAACAATATCAACTATATAGACAAGAAACACTACAATCCGGGCTAAGGTATGTCGGAGAAACATGAATGTATCATGTTTGCTTGGCTGAAACGAGAAATGCTGAAGTGTAGGACGAAATTTTTCATACCAAGCTCGAGAAGCTTATCTTATTTCATACAAAGAACGATGTAACATAAAGATAGACCAAAAGGTGCACACATAAAGATATATTCTTTGAGATCATCGTGAAGGAATGCATTTTTTACATCCATTTGACTTAGAACCATCCCCGGGAGGAAGCAATAGCAAGAACAACCCGGATTGTAGTCATTTTTGTTATAGGAGCAAAAGTTTCCTTATAACGATCAATGCTGCCAACAGATCTAACTTTGACCGAATACACCCACTTGCACGATAGAGGAGTGATGTTACGAGGACATGACACGATATCCTATGTTTAATTAATTTCCAGAGCTCGCAATTTTTCCTGCATTGCTTCCTATCAACACTTATGTTTGGCGGCATGTGAATAACAAAAGATAATAACAATAGATGATACTGTAGCATCAAGAGCATGAGAAGAGGATGAAAATCCATACCGATATGGTGGTACTGAACGTCGTGTAGAGCGACGAAGAGGAATCTCCACAATGCACGTATCCTCAAGTGGAAACTCTGGCACAGGATCTGATTGAGGGAAGGAGGTGACAGAGAGTCTAGCGGGTGGAGGATCAGTCTGGTGGTGGCAGTAGGTCAGCATTCGGCGGCGTTCCACAAAGACAGGGAATTCTGGCATATCGGCAGTGAGAATTTGGGGGGGGGGGATTCAACGACCAGTGGTAGGCGATCTGGGAACCTGGGGGGAATAATTCTTTACCATCCCAGAGGCATGAATTTTCTCTCAAGCTAAATACACATAGGAAATATTGGAGCATCACCATTATTCATACCTCATAACAAAATTGCTTCTTTGCCCGTCCTTGACAAGACAAGAACAAGAGTGAAATTCGATTGGTACATCATTTTCACGCCATAATTTGAATACGGAAATTAAATTGGTATGAAAAGAAGGAACAAAAAGAGTATTGGTCATTTAGAGAGAAATACCATTTGTCCGATGTGGAACTCCCGGTGGCAAAAGTTGTTATCGTACCACGTCTTTTTTTTGTAAATCTGAGCGTTTTCATAAGCTTCCCTCTGAGTTTCCTCAAACTTTGCCTTTTGGAACACCCTCCTTTGCTTTTAGAGTGCGGGGTTGGAACGAGCCGATATGGTGACATCCCTAGTGATGTATTTAGGCGGTCAGCTATGCCCATAAGGCATCATCTAGATTGAATTCCCAATCTTTTCAAGAGGTGGGCACTTTTTCTCCAAGATGGCCTTCATCTCCCAATTAGACACCTCCATTTATCTGTCAGCTAGTCAGTGATAAGCTACCCCGGTGTGAAATTTTCATCAATATTTCTTTAGAAAACTAGAGAAATGAGCATTCTTGAAGTGTCCCATTATCGTTTATGATAGTTAGAGGATGTCAATCAGGGAGAATATGTTCTTGTTCACGAGTTCCCTCACATTCTTTCCGGCGTTTTTGCAAAGAGCTGTTGCTTCCACCCATAAATTCTAAGTTTCCCACATCTAATAGTTCTTCCGTGAGGATCATATTATGTGAAATTTCATTTTTTTCGGTTCTTTAACACTGGTCACAAGTTTGGACATAACTCTTTGCATCCTTGAATAATGTGGGTCAGAAAAAGCCACACTGAAGGACCTTGGCGGTATCGTGATCCGGACAATGGTGACATCCATAAGGAAGGTTATGATAATGATTGATGATTGACATAATTTCCTCATCGGGCACACATCTTCTAATTAGTCCATCGGGTCACAATGCTTGAAGAGGTATGGATCATTTGGAGAGTAATACTTTTAACATCACTAAGAAATTTCTTCTTTTGACTAAAGATGAGGGATGGTGGAAGAATTTCATTGGTAAGATAGTTCACAAAATTTGTGAACCAAGGCAAAAGAAGCCCCACTTACCGCTACGAGTTGCTAATAGGGAAAATTATCATGCATAACTTTTATAATTGTTGTGGCACTTGGCTCAAGGCGGGAGAAATGGTTCGCAACAAGATTTTGACTTTCCTTTTTATCTCGTATTTCAACATCAAATTCATGAAGAAGTAATAATCAATGAATTACTTTGGTTTTGCATCCTTCTTGCTCATTAGATACCGGATGATGGAATAAACGGTGCGGACAATCACTTTTTGCCCAATGAAGTATGATGACCGGAATTTATCAAATGCATAGAAGACAACTAAAAATTCCTTCTCTGTGGTGGCATAGTTCAACTCCGCATTATGGAACAATCTAGAAGCAATAAATGGCATGAAACTTATCTTTTCTTTGCTCAAGTAATACTCCAATGGCATGGTCATTAGCGTTACCAATATTCTGAATGGCGCTAATCGGCCGCTAGCCGCTAGGTGTTGGACTGGCGCCCAATTAGCGCCTAACGCCATTAAGAATATTGGTGACGCTAGTGACCATGCCATTAGAGTACTGCTTGAGCAAAGAAAGGATAAATTTCATTTCAATGGTAAAGAACAACAACATCCAAGCCTTAGTCCCAAGTTGGCCATGTTTAGGAATTCCTTGAATGAATCCAAAGAATTTGGCAATAAAATTGAATGGATTTCCCCCCGGGCGGCCATAAAGTTGAGGTATATCATTGAAATATCTATTCTTCATTTCATAGTCTCTAGATGCCTCGATAAGGACAATGTATGATGTGGTGGTTGGAACAATGGTTATCTTCCTTTAGTGAAGTGCTGACATCATTTTGTCTTCATTTCTTTTCTTTCAGTTGTGTTTGAAAGTTCTTTCTCTTTGAAGATCAAGAGGTTCAAGATGTTTAGAACCTTGACTTCTCAAATGCATTCATACACAAAGGGTATGATACTCACATGAAATGGAAAATGATCATGTCTAGCCATCTGAGCAGGATCCTTCGCCTGGCCACCTCCATTTGAGGTGGTTCTTGGTAGAAATTTTTTATTAAATTTTGTCAACATGCTATTCATGAAATATAAATTATGTCTACAAATAAAACATATTGTTTTTCAATAATTTGTTTACTTGACTTCTCGATTGAACTTTAAGCTGAAATTTTGGAGAAATTATATACACCTCATGAATGGTTTGCTATTAGTTTTTGATGTCCTAAATGAATGAGTTTTTTGTTAAAAATTGACTCCATATTATTTTTGGCTTACATTCACATAGTTGGTATTATTAAAAATCATTTTTAAAGTATGTATTATTATTGGTTGATGATTGATAGTTGATATTATTTAAAATTATTTTTCCATTAAACTATGCAATGAATGATGATTAAGGGATGAAAATGAGAGTCTAAATAGTCCTAAGATTGACATGTTTTAGTCTATTCACGATTGTGGATCAGTATGTGCGAATTTCAGAGCCAGACTTCTCAAAATCTTCATTTCCCAACAAAAATATTGAGAGGAGAGGAAGTCATCTGATTTTGCAGATTTCAGAGGTTCGGCGTCGGTTATAGGGCATGTACGGCGCCGGTTTGTGCAATTTCCGTTCAGTTTTCAGCAACTCTAGCGCCGGGCTGGTTATGTGAGAACTCTGGCGCCGGTTCCTTTGAGCTTTTCGGAAGATTTTTCTACTTTCTAGTTCTACGCACCCAACTTTAGTGGCGATTATGGAGTATGTCCAGAGCCGGTTTATTCTCCAACCGTGATTCATTGTTTTTCAGTCCTTTCTGGCCTCAATGTTGACTTAGAAATGCCTTCTTTTAACTCCTTTTTTTACCCTTGCATCCATTCTCATTGTTCTTGACCATTTTTCATATTCCATGCGCAATTTAGGATTTGTAATTGTTTTGTTTTTACAGTTTTGTATAGATTTATATAATTACCTATATAAAATTATAAGTAACTACTGTGTTTATCAATAATGAAACCTTACAAGTAACTAAACGTGGTATTAAAATAAAATCAATCGATGAGAATACGTTGTAACTCTGGCATAAACTTGTAGGACATATTTCTAGACAATAGATTCAGGGACTTCTGTTAGATGGAATTCTTGATTCCCTTAACTACTTAAATTTTGATATTTGTTTGAGTGTCTTAAAGAAAAACAAATGAACAAGAGAGTTCTATAGTTGTGGGTCCACTCAGGAAAGTATTTCCACCCAAAGATTGTCATGAGAATACTACTCAGAATCTCAGATGAGTGTCAAATCAGTTGAGGAATATGAGTTTTTATGGGAGATTCCAACCCGTCTAGAGTATTCCAACCGTTTGTCATCCCATGCATACTCATACCTCCGCTGGGATTTTCAACCCTAAGAGGTTTCTTAATTTATCTCACACTACTACTCTGTCACCTTCACCTTGGTCACCTCTTTCTGACTTACAAGACCCCAACTGGAGGTTTGCCATGTATGATGAGTTTAGCGCTTTATTCGTTGCATGTTATTGTCCAAACATAAATAAAGTCATACGGCTCATAGTGATGAGACATTTAGTCCGGTTCTAAAGCTGACAACTATTCGTACGATTCTCAGTTTATCACTCTTTTGATCTTGGCTTCTTCATCGTCTGGATGTCAACACACTTTTTCCACGGTCATTTGGAGAAAATCGTGATTATGCATCAGCCACCACATTATCGAGATTCTTTTTGGGCCTCTCATGTATGTCATCTTTTGAAGTCTTTATATGGCCTGAAACAAGCACCCAAACCTGGTATCATCGGTTTGCCACTCATCTGGCTACCCTTGGATTCACTCACAATACTAGCGATCAATCCCTATTCATTTATAGTCAAGGATCGGACACCGCTTATTTACTTATGTATGTTGATGATATAATCTTGACCGCCTCTCCCGATTCTTTTCGTCGGCTCATCATCTATAAGCTTGCTTCTGAATTTGCTCTATTGATCTTTGTCTACTTAGATACATTTTGGGCATCTCTGTCAAACGTCATTCCAAAGATCTTTTTCTCTCCAGAGCCATATTTGTTGTTGATATTTTACGGCGAGCGGGTATGATAGATTGCAGTCAAGTTGTTACTCGTGTTGACACCCAGTCAAAACTCAGTGAATCAGTATCCATCGGTAAGCAAGTTGTTGATTCTACTTTATAACATTAGGATCCAGGGGCGCTTCAATATCTCACATTTACTGATCCTGATATTTCATATGTCATGCAACAAATTTTTCTTTTCACACATGGCCCATGGGAACCCCATTTTCTTGCTCTCAAATGGATTCTACGCTACATTAAGGGTACCTTGCACTTTGGGCTTCATCTTTATCCTTTGCCAGTCTCAACTCTTATCTCTTACACGGATGTTGATTGGGGCGGTTGTCCTAACACTCCCTGCTCTACCTTCGACTACTGTATTTTATTAGGCGATAATCTTCTTTTGTGGTCTTCCAAAAGGCAGCCCACTTTGTCACGTTCTATTGTGGTGTAGCCAACACTATTGCTGAAACTTCCTGGCTCCGTCTGCTACTTGAACTCCGATGCCCTCTCTCCAAAGCCACACTTGTTTTCTGTGGTAATATTAATTCTATTTACATGACATGCAATCCCGTCCAATATCAAAGAACTAAGCATATTGAAATGAATATTCATTTGGACATGCAAAAGTGCTTCTCGGGGCAAAGTCCGTGTTTTTTCATATTCTTTCTCGGCACCAGTTCGCCGACATTTTCAAAAAAGGTTTACGCCATTCTCTCTTTGACGAATTCCGAACCAGTCTCAGCATCTGTGAACCTCCCTCTTCCGCTGTGGGGGCGTGTTAACGGACATATACACCCACACAATCATATTATCACACGCTGGTATTGCTAAGTCATTCGAATGATTCTTATATTTACTATTAATGTCTAATGTACATATTCGATGTAATGTTTAGTAGTTGGTTACTTTTGTGTAGTATTACTTCTGTATATACTCCCTTTTCCCAAAATGATTAGTGAATTGACTTTTTTTTGTCAATGATAATCAACTTTGACCAATGATATTTTTCAATATGAAATTATTTTGAATATGAAAATTATATCAAGATGTTCTTTATTTAAAATATTTTCATAAAAGTATAAAATTTATAAATTATATACATGTATAATAATTAAAATCATTATCCAAAGTTTATCAGCATTGACTAAGAAAAGTCAATATGGCAAATCTTTTCGGAACAGATGCAGTATATGTTTTTTAGATAGAAGAGGACTGTATCATAGTTATCTACTCGTACCTACTTATATCAAATTAATTCAAAGCCTCCTTTACGGCAAATTTTGTATCTAACTTGTAGCATTTAAAGTATTGAATCATATATTATATTGTCGGTATAGAATTGTAAATATTAACTTTTCCAAATTAAAGACATCGGCCGAAATATATTATATCTTGAAGAAAATGTCATGTTTCACTTATTCCAGAGGACTTTCAGGCTAGAAATAGGAATTCCTATGAAAAGTTCGCTATGTGCTCAATTTTATTACTTTGCAATACATGACCTACAAATGAGTGCAGTTGTATAATTAGAAATTTCCAAATACATGAGTTATATGACAAAATCATCAATTATTTGTTATTTTTGTGAATGTATAAATTGTTGGTTTTTGTGATGTACAACTGTAAAAAGTATATTATATTATTAGTTTAGTTAGATTAAATAAATATGCATTAAAAAGTTAGTTCTAGTTTTAATTTTTTCCCACATCTGTGCACCATTGCAAAATATAGTATGCAACAAGTTCTTGCGAGGCAAAATATGCAGTCAAATAAGATGGAGAATCTCGATAATCATCATGATCATGCACCTATCGAGCTTGAGGTAATTAATAATGTTCTTAATTGATATAATAATGATGGTAGTTATTTTGATCGGTTACAATGCTCTTCTTAATCGTCAAAAATTATATTATGTGGTTGCATAATTGTCACGTTATATTTCCGTTAAAAACATAAGAGCAATACATCACATATTGATCCAACCCTCCTACTATTATATACCCTCATAAAAATCAAAGTGGGCAACATGCTCTCAAATAAGCTAAAATCCATATTGATATGCTAGCACAAAATATGTGTAAAGATACTTTATATTAAGAATTAGGAATAGTAGCTAAAAGCTTTATATGTTGGTGTAGAATAGCTCAATATGCTCCGCAAGATGGTGGCTCGTTGGATACAAATCAATCTTATAATATGTATACTCGTTATTGAGGCTTATAAGGATTTAATTGCTCGTTTGAGCTTAATAGTTCTCATCTGAGTTATATCAAAAAAGGCTAATCTAACCGGAGGAATGGCCCAATACTTTGTATGTTAGTGTGAGATAACTTAATAATTATCATGTAACACCCTGCTATAGCGGCGAAGCAGTCGTTGGGCGCTATCAGATCACGTACATATAGCATTGCATTTGGCTCTACTGGGAATAACGGCCACTATAGGAGGTGTGGCGGACGATATAACGGTGCTATTTGCTTGTCAGTGCTAAAATTAAGGTTTCTTTGTGTAACTTTTGTTTTCAGAAATATTAAGGGTGAAGAAGACTTCTTAAAATAAATAGCAAGCTAGCGTATAACCCCTCTATCAGGGGCGGATGTAGGACTGAGCTCACCCTAGGCTAAAGCCCACCCTAAATTCTTAATAATTTAATATTTAGCATTGAAATTGTGATATAATTAGTAAAAATCTCATCTCAAATTTTAACATAAACCCACTTCAAATGAATATCAATATGTACTCCCTTGTCTTTTAAAATTTACCACGTTTGAGTGTCAAAAGTGCAAGGGCGCGCTACACTTCATAGGCCTGGACGTAGTGATAAGAATGCTAAATTTGCTAGGTTATCACCCGAAATCGGCGCGCCACTCCAATATTTGGGGGTGGTGTCAAATATAGAAGAGTTAGTGCTAGATTAAGCTTTGGGGTGTGGAAGGTTGGCTCTCTTACGGGAAGATCATGTGAGGTTAGGTAGTCCAGTTTATGAGGAGGAAGAATAACAACATTATGTGTGTGCAAGAAACTAAGTGGGTTGGAGAAAAGACACGTGAGATTAATCCCAGAGGTTTTAAGTTGTGGTATTCGGGGAGAGACAAAACTAAACTGAGTAGGCATTATTTGGCATGTGATTATGTTGAGGGTGTGGTGGAAGTCTTTAGAAAGAATAACCGCATTGTGAGCATCAAATTGGTGATACGGGATAAGATCATGTCCGTGGTTAGCGCCTATGAACCGCAAGTAGGATTGGATGCATCTATTACTCAACAACTTTGGGAAGATCTTGAGGAAGTGGTGCGAGGAGTGCTAAGGGGATAGAAGTTGGTCATAGGAGGCGACCTCAACCGACATTCTAGGTTTTGACACAAGAAATGAAGCGGGGGAAAACATTCTAGATTATCACCTTGCGACCTATAGAAGTGGATCTAATAGTATCCAAATCAACTACTTCTTAGTGCGGATAACTTGGAGAACTAGGTAGACTGATTGCAAGGTTATCCCAGGTGAGAATATTGTCACTCCACACTCGACATAGGATGCTTGTGCTTTATTTCAAGGTAAGAAGTATAGAAGACGAGTTAAGCAACAAATAGAGCCAAAGATAAAGTGGTCGAGGCTCGAGGGGATCTCCAACAAAGCTTTTCACATAAAATGTCGGGGAAGAAGTATGGTGTATTAATAATGACGCACGTGTAGTTAACAATGAAGTTGACCATTAACAAAGTGTCGAAGGAGATACTTGGAGAATCTAAATAATTCTGCCACCATAAAAGGTCACATTTTGATGGAATAATGAGGTGACATAAACAATTAAGAGTAAAAGAGAATGCTACAAAAGGTTGGGCAAAAGTTGGATCGATGAGAACATAGATGAGTACAAGCTAAGGAGGATAAACGAAAAGCAAAGAAAGACGTAAAGGAAGCAAAGGAGAAAGTAAAAAAGGAGTTTTATGTAAAATTGGATTCTAAGGAAGGAGAAAAAGATATTTACAGACTTACTCGTCTTCGTGATCGTAAGACTCAAGGTATCAGAAAAGTTAAGTGTGTGAAAGATGTCGATTAATTGATAGTAATGGAGGACGGGGAATTAAAAGAGAGATGTAGGTCATACTTTGATACCCTATTCAAGGGGAATAAAGTACAAGGTATTGAGAATCTTACTATACAGATTGTAGGGTAAATTGGGAGTTTGTGACAAGGATCAAAACGAAAGAAGTTAAAGAGGCTTTGAGAAAGATGAAGTGGATGAAAGCAGTGAGTTCAGATGCCATAGTGGCATACCGATCAAGGCCCGAAAAGTTTTGGACAGAGGGGCATCGAGTGGTAACACATTTCTTGAACATGATTCGAAGAAATAACAAAATGTGAATGAGTTGGCAGAGTAGTACTCTTATTCTCTTATTTAAGAGAGGAGTACTCTTATTCCCCTATTTAAGGATAAGGGAATTGTATAAGAATGAGCCAACTATCGAGACATTAAGCTTATGAGTCATACCATGAAACTTCGACAACGAGTGATTGAGCAAAGACTTCGAAGAAGTGTGAAAATTTCGAAGAATCAATTCGGTTATATGCGTGGACGCTCAACAACTGAGGTCACTCACCTTTTTAAACAAGCTGTAGAAAAGTATAGAGATACTAAAAAAGATCTGCATGTGGTTTTCATTGACTTAGAAAATGCATATGATAGAGTATCACTAAAAGTTCTTTGATGTGTCTTAACTGGAAAAGGCATATCATGTAAGTGTATCAGTATCATCACGGATTTGCTTGAGGTTTGTACTACAAGTGTCCCTACTATTGTAGGGAGGATTGTAGAGTTTCCTATTACTATCGTAGTGCACCAAGGATCGTCTCTGAGTCTTTTCTTATTTGCAATAGACATGGATGAACTTACAAAGTCAATTCAAGAAAATATACCATGATGCATGATGTTTATCGACGATATTGTATTGATTGATGAGACACAATTGGTGTTAAAGAAAAGTTAGAAGTACAACAACAAACATTGAAGACCAAGAGTTTCAGATTGAGTCAAAGCAAGACTAAGTATATGAAGTGCAAGTTTAGTCGAGGTAGAAGTAGTTGTAAGGAAATACCGGTCTGTGATATGATCCATTATTTGAGATCCATAATTTAGAAGGAAGGTGAACTAGATGAAGATGTATCCCATAGAGTCATAGAAGGATAGACGAAATGGAAGAGTGCATAAAGATTTCTATGTGGTCGATGTATGCCGACTATGGTAAAGAGTAAATTTTATCGGACGACAATTAGACCTGCATTAATGTATGACGTAGAATGTTGGGTGGTGAAACAATATTATATTCAAAAGAAGAGTGTGATATAAATGTGAATGTTACGTTGAATGTGTGGACATATCAAATAAGACTGAGTGCAATAATCAGACAAAAGGTAGGAGTAACGCCTGAAGATAAGATGCAAGAGTCTCGATTACAGTGGTTTGATCATGTGTGTAGAAGACCGAGTGATTCACTTGTTAGAGGAGTTGAGAGATGAGAAGAAGAGGCGGAAATGAGAGGGAGAGGAAGGACCTAAATAGACGTGAATTAGAAGAAGCATAACTGATATGCTTTTTCTTGCGTTAGATGAGAGCATGTCTTTGGAGAGCACGAATTGGAGGGCGCATATTTGTGTGGAGGATTGGTTGATTGATTCTTTTCTATTTTTGAAAGCAGATTGTACTAATCAAACCATTGTCTAAATATCATGTCACTGACCAACAGGTAGTAATACTCTCCTAGCCTAAGTTATGCTGGCTGGCAATGCTGCTGCCTATGCCTTAGATCTACCTTTAACTATTTTACTCGTAAGAGATTGACTAAGATTAGCAGTTAAACTATATATTTACTCAACTGATGAAATAAAGGTTACTGATTTCTATTTAGCAGGATAATCGAACCCATGCAAAGCTAATGAAAGACTGCATGGACAAGGATCGCCAGCTGAGGTATTTATTAGCTTTATGATATGTTGCAGATTAATGTTATGTTGTTGTTATTATTATCAACGGAAGAACCGTTTGATGTGTATATGAACGTATATAAAAATAATAATATATTTTCAGGCAACTGATGGGAGAAGATATTCAAGAGCTTGACATGGATGATTTGATTACACTGGAGAAACAGATGGAGAGAGGATTGAGCCGTGTTCTGAAGATGAAGGTGATCTGTTTCTATCTGTTAGATACTCCCACTTTATTTGAATTATTAGGAACTTTAAGAAAATAAAAAGTTCACAGATGTAGGATGTTTTCTTTTGGACTGAAATTTGCTGGTCTGGTCTGGTCTGGTCTGTTTAAGTCTGGTCTGGTCTGGTCTGGTCTGTTTAAGTCTGGTCTGGTCTGGTTTGAACTGGTCTGGTCTGGTCTGGTAAACGTCTGGTCTCTGTGTATTTTATAACTACGGAAGTCTGGTCTGGTCTGGTCTGGTCTGTTTAAGTCTGGTCTGGTCTGGTCTGGTCTGTTTAAGTCTGGTCTGGTCTGGTCTGGTCTGGTCTGGTCTGTTTAAGTCTGGTCTGGTCTGGTCTGGGATTGAAAACAGTCCAAAAGAAAACATCCGTAATTTGAAACGGATAATTTATTTATAAATACAAATTTGGGGTTAAAGTGTGAAACTAAACCAGATTAGGACAGCCCATAATAATGCATTTTGATATCGAATCAAAGCAGCATCCTAACTATATTGAAAATTCACTTGCATTGTAATGTTTTGGTCTTATTTGGTATGCAATGGTCTATTAAGATTTAATCTGGCAAGGTCCGGTAATATGTGCATTTTATTACGTATGACTTATGGTCTATGTCTAGTCTCAGGTATTTTGTTTATGTTTGATCATGTCTAATCTGATCTGTTTAAATCCGCTCAAAACTTAATTAGTTCTGATCTGATCTAGAATTGAAAGCCAAGGAAAAACAATTTCATTTTGATTTATAACCTGAGTAGTTTGTTTTATCTTTTAAGAACGGATACACGCCGCATGGGTAATAATGTACGTTATTGTTACCAGGGGCGGACTTACGCTATAACCAGGGTATGCATAGGCTACACCTCAAAATGTGCGGCACGCCTATGTGGTAGTAATATTAAAATAAAACTCTTGCTAGGCTACAAGTCAAAGGGTCAAAACGCTCTAGTGCTACACGTGAGTTTTATTTTTTAGAAGTTATTCTCAGTGTTCTTGAAGTAGCTGATGTGGTCATATGGGCTTTAAATTTTTTCCTTTTCTATGTAATATGGAGTAACTTATAATAGACCGCATGGATGGACTTGGAGATCCAACATCTTTAAATTTAAAAATGTCAAAATTTTCCACCGACTTTCAAAACCTAAAGGGCCACTTATGTCTTAAAGAAATAAAGAACAACTTTGTCTTTGAGACTTGAGAGAAGCCATCGATCCACTACTTCAATTTCAGGTTTTTAGTTCTTTAAATATAAACAATTAGATCCTTATTATCATAATTGTTATTAATAATATTATTATTATTTTGAGAGGATTACTATTGCTATTATTATTATTATAATTTTACCATGTCAATATTGTAATCTCTAAATTTTCAATTTGTTTAGCATTTGAAACACCAAGTGTAATTTTAACTTTTGCTTTAATGACTTTACTAAAAAAACTTTTGCTTTTATGAATACATAGACATAAAAATACACTTATACGTGTGAGTATGTGACTTTTTTTTATCATTGTTTAGCTAGTAATTACAAACTGACAATTTTATATTTTGTAATACATATGGTATACTACTAGAACTATACATATATGTTAAATTTTATTTAGCCTTTGTTGTTCTCATGTCAGCTGGGGTGGAGTATTTTCGAAAAAAATTCACATGAATTTTCGTACACAAAAAAAATAAAGACATTTTTTAAATTAGGGGTGGGCCAAGACCTAGGTTGCCCCCTAGCTCTGCCCATGCGCGCTCATGTGATATACTACTAGTATTATGTTGCGGTTGTTACCTATATGTGCATACAGTGACCTCCGATGCCTAGATCCACCACTGCACTGATTGTTACATTACATTTTTCAGGAGACATTACACTTGAACGAGATAACTGCTCTCAAGAATCAGGCTAGTCATCCAACATTATCAAAAATTGACTTTTTTATCATGCATTGAAAAAAAAGTAGCATGTCAGTCTCTGATTAAAATCCAATTTATATCTTCCCAATTAATTGTCCAGCCGATGAAGGAGTTTTTAGGGATGGAGGTTCATTCTCTTTTAATTTCTAAAATAAAATTGTTCTGTAGAAAAACAACATTCTCTGTTGTTTACTACGTATGAAAAAGTACTGAATTGGTTTTTATTTATTTTAGTGGAGGGTATTTGGAATTGCCTATATGGAAACCCTAGTGAAACAGATTAATTTATTCCTCAAACGTTTTATTACGTATGTACCTGTAAGCTAGACCTCACAGGGATGTGAAATTTATATGTAGGGTGCTTTTCTGAAGGAAGAGAATGAACAAATGAAACACTTCGTCCATCAGCAGGTTATAGCAATTTCAATCTTGATTCACATGTGGTTGTATTAAGAAATTGCATGCAATTGGAGTACAATATGGATATGTTTTGTACTTTTGTTCTCAAAAGAGAACTTAGTTTTTGTTTTTATTGATGGAAAGAGAAGAGAGAACTTAGTTAGCCATGTTAAAAATAAAACGAACTCTTCAAAATAAGAGTGAATGAGTAATATTTTGAAAAAAGTCCTACCTACATTTTACTTTTAGAACGTTGTTAATGACTACTCTCTCCGTCCCAAATTAATGGACCTATACTTATTGGGTTCTGATATTAAGAGGATGGGATTGAATGATTCATATAACCTTATTCTATTGCAATGTTCATTCATTTACTTTTATTGTTCATGAAAAGAAGAATGAATGACAATCTACTTTAATTTCTTTATCAAAAGAGAAACAAGACTATCATTTTGGGACAACTCAAAAAGAAATATAGGATCACCACTTTGGGACGGAGGGAATATAGTTTTCTAGTATGGTGGATGTTTGTCATGTGTATTTTATGATTGACGAAGTCTGGTCGATTTGATATGGTCTGGATTATTTAAGTCTAATCGGGTCTGACATGTTCTGTGTTTAAAAGACTAAAACCATTTCAATCAAAAACAGAGTTTTTCTTGAGTTCATGTCAAAAATTCTGAAACGATCTCAACTCGTTTCATTTGTTTTAATTGATATCACCAATTTTCTTTTGATTATTATGACGTGTAGATGGGCAGGGGGGAGAAACCTCCATCCGATCAACTGGTTCCTGGGCAGTCGGACAATTCGATCTCAGAAGCGTGCAGCCCAACTATTAGTCAATCTTGCCATGGCCACTCTGATACTTCCCTCAAATTAGGGTATGCGGATTTCACCACCCTTGCATTTTACGTTTGAGTACTAAGGATGTTTTTACTTGGACTGTAATTTGCTGGTCTGGTCTGGTCTGGTCTGATCTGGTCTGGTCTGAACTGGTCTGGTCTGGTCTGGTCTGGTCTGGTAAGATCTGGTTTCTTTGTATTTTTATAACTATCCAAGTCTGGTCTGGTCTGGTCTGATCTGAACTGGTCTGGTCTGGTCTGAACTGGTCTGGTTTGGGGCAAATTACAGTCCAAGTAAAAACATCCTAAATACGTTGATTTAAATTGAAATATGCTGAAATTGGTGAAATTACGACGAAAACAACTATATCGGCTGAATTTGATCAATTTTCAGAAAAATAATTTCAACCTTACTTATTTTTTGAAATATGCTTTTGGTAAAAAATTGTGTGAGAAGCTGATAAGTTGAAAGTAAGAGTTACAAAACGAACTCATAATGTTTTTGTATAGTAATTATCAATCTTTCGGTTTCTTTTGTACTTTAAATTTTGTCAACGTTCGCAATGTTTATGTATGGACTTAAATTTGTTGGACTAGTTTCATCTAGTATGATCTAATCTGGTCTGATTAACTAAGATTAGTCTCATTTGATCATTTAAGTCTTTTCCTGTTTAACTCTAGTTTAATTTGAAATTAAACAAACTCAAGTCAAAACATTTGTTGTCATACTTTTGATAAAGTATTCCGTATGAATTATGTGGATATGTGAGGAATTGAGGAAGCGTCCAGCCCAGCTGGTCGCTGCCTCACTCCCTTACGGGAGGTCTCGGGTTCGAAACTCAATGGAGTGAGTCTTAGTCCTGATTACTCCAGGCTCCCCCAGTCCCCCTCTCCCAGACGCCTCCGGAGTAAAAAAAATATATGTGGATATGTTATTCATGACCTGAGTACAAATTTAAAACATAGATATGCGTTTTCATCAAAATCTGAAATACTGATGGATTACTTAAAAACATTACACTTGTATGATAAAAAAACATTACACTTATCTTCAATTCTCTTAATTTAATCATAAAGCTTTTAACTATTTTCAATCCGATCCGTCTACTTAAGCACGTTTAATAAGTTTCAAGATTAAAAAATGACGTGTATATTAGTTTTCCCGGACAAAAGTAAGATCAGTTATGTTTTTTAGATCAAAATATGACTAATCATTGTGTACGGGTAATTGGACAAAAGTCACTATAATGTATTCTAGAGTGACAAGTAACTTGTATATAATGAGTCACTAAGAACTGCTCATTGAATATGTCACTTTTTTGGAAAATTTTAAAATAAGTCATATTTTTGTCTTTTTGAATTTAAAATAATCCATGGAAAAGACCTTTTTAAATTTATAGATTTATCAGAGTATTGAGATTCCATTTTTATAATTTTTGGATTTTTTGTTTTAAACGTATTAAATAAAATTTTTATATGTGAATTCGTTTATTGAAACAATAGATTTTAATGAGTTTTCTTTAAATTTATTCAAATGTTTAAGCTGTTAATTAAGTAAGTTGGATATATCTTGTAAATTAATATATTACATGTTATTCGAACTTCATTTTGGCCAAATTATGGTAAATTTTGAAAGATTAATTCTAGACTGAATTCATTCTTCGATCAATTAAGGAACCATATTGCAACAATGGATAATTACAGAATAAAAACTGCAAGACCTTTGTTGTCTATAAAAAAATATCTAGCTCATACAGGATATAATTGCTAATTTAATTTGCAGCTTGCCTTTTCCAACTGAAGTTACAAGGAAGTGGGGGCTTACGCCAATGATATGATTTTTAATTGGCATGGGATGACACATTATCCCAAATAATTTGTATATGATTTCCTGATTTCATCTAATAATTTGATAGAAGGAAAGGATTTAATAATGTTATTTGTGAAAAAATGTAATTACTGGAGGTGAAATTAATCTATGCAACTGGAGTAGAGAATGTCCTTTGTATCAATCTATAATATAAGTATGTAAAAAATGTCTGTTGTGTATTGAATTTTAAAAAAAAAATGTTTTTCGTAATAATTAAGTGTATATAGGAAGTAAGGAAACTCAATACTGCGTATTATGGCCGGTTCGTATATAATGCAATTTGATCATTATTGTGATTCGTATAAGACACCCTTGGGCATTCTCAAGGATGTCCCAACACTTCTAATTAAAAACTTTCACGACATTCTTGAAAAAAAATTAAAAACTTTCACGACATCAAAAAGATTTAGAAGATTTTTTTGTTTGTTTTCGACACACACACATTTTTTTTATCGTAACACACACATATATAATGCCCTTGCATTTTTGTGTTTTCCACCTAATTTGGTATCGTCATAGGCATCCATCTTCATCTACTCTATTACGGAGTATTTTCTTCTACATCTTTTTTTTTCTATCTCACTCTTCTTTGATTTCGCCTCTTCGAGGGAATCTATTTGAACTTCATAGTAATGGGTAAAAGGAATAGAGATGGCAATTTCGGCCGACCCGTTGGATACCCGCACCGAACCGATTTGGTCAAACTGGGGAAATCCGGTTTGACTGGGGAATGAGTACGTGGTGGGGAATACCCGAATTTTTTAAATGATTAATGGTGCGGTTATGGTTAATGATTAAAATCTGCCCCAAAACCGCCCGTTCACTAATGGTGCGGGTACCCGCACCATTACCCGATCCGTAACATTATTAATGAATTATAACTTTTTATATATAAGAATAATAAGTATATATGCTAAATTGTGTATACTAAATAGTATATATACAGAGTACGGAGTATCATATAAATAATGCTAAAAAGTATACTACAAGTATTTTTTTAGGCCTAAAACTAAATATAGGCCTAAACTTGATTTTGGAATTTGGATTCTGGGATGATTACTATTTTTTTATTATGTTACAAGAGATATTAGGTGCATGTCATACTAATGAATTTAGGCTAGTCTGTTTGATTGCTTAAATATTTACTTTTGTATGTTTTATGGTGCTTTGAATATATAAATAACAAATAAGATTAGAAATTGGTTATTTGTTTTCCAAAAAAAAGTTTTTATGGTATCATTTGGGGAAACGGTTACCCGTGGATAAACCAATTCCCCGTTGGGGCGGGTACGGTTCAAATAAAAATTACCCGAATAAGTAATAGAGCAGTTTTGGGGAAAACATTTATCCAACAGGACGGTTTCAGTTTTATGTGTACCCGTCCCCGATCAGCCCCGTTGCCATCACTGAAAAGGAACAGTGAAAAACTACGCTCCGTGGGCATTTATTGTTTCTGTTATAAATGATTAAATTTGGTATAAAAAGTGATATTGGAAGCAAATGTAGTGTTAATAGATCAAGAGTAAATGATCATGAGTAAGTGCGTTATTTTATGTCCGTTATTTGTTTTGCAGTTATTTCTAACCTATGACGGTATATCATCGTCAACATCATTGAAATTAGATGAGATTCGAATTTCTACCTTTTATCTTGAGAGTGTTATATTGATGTTATCAGAACACAAAGTATTTGACATGTGTCCATTAATTAATACTTCGTATAATTTATGTTTCATGCAATATGTTACATACTCTCTCGGTTCCTAAATAAAAGACATTGTTTCTCTTTTTTGGTTGTCCCTATATAAAAGGGTCATTGACAAATATAACAGTGCAAAATGATGTCAAAATAATGCCACACAGTGTCAAATAGTATTTCTTCTTAGGTTATGTGTCATTCAAACTATGTCTTTTATATAAGGACGGGGTATTAATTACGGTGTATAAGGTGTAGTCGATGTTCTAACTTAATGTTTCTAATATGTAAAGAAATAATTATTTTAATGGCCTGTCGATGTAAATACACAAATGGTAGATGGTTGGTGTAACTGAGATTATACATGTATGAAATATGTGAGAAAACGATGCGAAGGTAATATTGTTTGTTTATGGTTATAAATGATTTACAGGAGCGGATCAGGTGAGAAGTGTTCTTAGGCTGAGAACTGCGAAGTAATTTAAAAAGTTGTAAAAGTTAAACATTTAACTTTATAAATTATGTTGATGAAATTCATATCAATAATCTGTACTTTGAGCATGTCTACAATAATAATCTCTACTAAAGAAATTGATATAAATAATCCATACCCTTAAAGGCTTAAACACATTCATATAAATAAATAAATAAATAAATTACTCAAACAGAGGCAGTGATTCTGTTTGACATTATCCTCATCCCATCCATCATCATCCTCACGGGTCATACTCTGTTTTTTTTTTCAATCTTTCCATGTCAACCGAACACTGGATTTTTTTCAGTTATCATCACTTTTACCTATTCCTTCTGTCATAATGATTTATCATATGGATGTAATTAGCTTTTTTGAATATTAAATTGTATGATTGGAAAATTACAACACCAGAATACCTAATTTTAAAGGTAAAGAAACCTCTAAATTTAGAGGATCGGAATTCTTTAGTCCCAATTTGAAAAAGTATAACACCAGTATCCAAAAGTAAAATTGAAGCCCCCATGTATACACATATAATGCTTCATTCTCAAACTGTTTCTTGAAGCTCCCCCCTCATGGACAGGCAAAAATAAGATGAAGTACAAAGCTCAACCAATTAAAGTACACAGTACAAAATGCACCGTATGTTTAAAATGAAAAAAAAAAATCTGTTGAAAAGGGGAGGGGAATTGAAGTTACACGGAGGTGAGTGAGTGACGGGAATGGGGTGATGTAGGATATCAAACAAACCGTTACCTCCGTTTCATTTAATCTGTTTATGTGAACCTATTTATTAATGTAGAGATTATTAATGTAGAACTGCTAAAAATATAGATTATTGGTATGCATTTCACCAATTATGTTTAATGTATTAATAGTTTATTAGGACATATATTTCTTGGTAAATAAATAAATATCTTTTTGATAAATATTTTTCAACTACTACTAGTGTTTTTCATTGTAATCTCATACTTTCTCGATTTATTTATCACTATAAAGTTATACTTTTTTATTTAGAGTTGTTGGATTTATAAGTTATGATTTCTGCTATATAAGTTACCTTATTATCTCTATTAGTTAGACTTCGCAATTTTCAGTCTAAGACACACTTCTCACGTGATCTTTTCCCAATGTTTACATTTGATATAAATAATGATATTTCGGATTCAGGATGTTTTTACTTGGACTGTTTTTAGTCCCAGACCAGAAAGAACACTACTTATTTCATGCTTAAGTGATTATGACATTCAAAATATCTTTAATAGCAAAAATCGCTCCGTCAAAGTACCTTCTATCTTAACAAATCTCATAATAAAAGCCATTAATTCTCAATTAGATTCGTTTTTTCACTCATCTACCTGTCTTTATTTTGCTCATGAATCATATGTCGAACACAATTACCAGCCTGGAAGGTCCAACATATGATTTCAGTGATCAAGAGAATATCATTCACATCAATGTTCCATTTTCCAGTATATTTAATCAATTTATTAACGTTTGTATGACGCAAGGTGTTTCAGACTCATCATGGCCCTAAACACATAACCTTATAAAGCTAACACAAAATATGTTGAACTTAGCACAAGTCACTCCCATATTACGAGGTGATGAAGATGATGGACTGAGATGCATAAGCGACACACATTCTTTACCATCATGAAATCATTCCCAATCATCAAATTGGAAATCACTAAAGCAGAAACACAAGAGAATGCACAACGTCATTGAAGAGAAAACACAGCAAACAATATGCCTTATGTTGGTGGAAATTCGGTCAGATATACCTGCAAAAATAACGTTAGAAAATAATATAGCTCGAGACGCGTCAGACGCTGTCCTCAAGAAAGTATTTCCGACTAGCGAAAACCTTTCCCCAAGATATAACGAGCTCTTCGGCGTAAGCCGGTAACAGAACAACGAGAGTAGAAAATTATTAATCCAGCAGAGTGAAAATATCAAGAGATGTTTAACTCCAAAATAATATATCTCAAATGGCTCGTCAAACACACACGCTCTCTATAGCTCCATGCAAACATACATATATTTATACACGTAAATGCCCAGCAAAGAAATTGAACGTTGGAGCTTGAAAGGTCATCAATATAATTATACATTAATAATAATCATAATAGCCAATGGTAAAACAACCGTTATGATAGCAAGCAAGTGTCTTTTAGATTTAAATACACACTATTGAAAAGTAACGTACAAAACTTTGTTTGCAAAATTTTGTTTAATTAAAAATGATAATGAAAAGAATTGATGTACGTTTAAAACTAAAGTGAAGAAATTAATTGAAACAAGTTAATTTAATTATATTCATTTGAAATACTCATAATATTTCCAACAATCCCCCACATATTTCAAATGAATAATTTTTGGAGTTTGGAAAATATCTGTTGGATTAAAGGAATGAGACTTTAAGTTTGATGTCCGTAGACTTGAAACCAAACCGAGACGATTAAGTCTTAATAAACCGAGCTTTTGGTGAAACCTATAGTTTCTTGAAACCAACAAGCCACTATTGGTAAATCAGTGTCTTAACGGTCGTGTCTCACCCCGCAAAATTTCTCGTTATTACGCCGTTGTGCGCCGTAAGGACATGCGCGTGCTTGGTTTTCATGAGTGCTCTAGAAGTTTTGTCATGCTTCATGGAGGCGGCCTCACCTCACACTCATATAGGTGATATCATCAAGTGTGTACCGCTTTTGCACACCACCCTAAAAGTAAGGGCTATGATAATCATTAAGAGCTTTTAGCTAATCCTCTCAAAGTATGCGGTTTCTAGTCTATATCTCACATCATGGAAAAGGGCAATTTTAGTTAGGCTAGCAGAAGTAAATTGAAGACTTGTTATTACCCATTTGAACTTGCTTCATGGGATCTCCAATCACACAAGTTGGGTTCTCATCCCCATTCGTTTCAAAGTGACACTAGTCCCATTTCCTTAGATGTTTCGGTTATTAATTTTCGTCCTAGGGCTTTTGTCAAAGGATCCGCTAAATTTCCTTGTGACCTCACAAAATTAATGGACACA